GACGTGACAGAACATCAGAGATGGAACATAAAGATGATTATGAATTCACAAGGTGTTACACCAGATGTTCTGAGTGATTAGAAATAAGCTGCATCTGAGAAAGTGAGGGGGAATCCTGAGATTTTTTTAAATAAATCATGAGAGGCTGACGGAAAAGTTCAGACTGAATAAAAAGGATAATAAGCAAATAGTGAGGAAAGGAGGAATGATTGGTAAGATATTATCATTAATTTTAAAGTGCTAAAGATCTGAACTATGAGTCTTGATGAAAAGAAATGGTTTGGCTTTTAGGAAAACATAATAACCTGTCATTCCTCTCTTTCAGAGAGAGTGAAAGATCTAAAAACAGATAAGATTTTCAGCAGACTAGAAATCCAGTAGGGTCCTAGATCCTGTCCCCTGTTTTTTAAGTTACAAGTTCATGAGTCTTGTCCTTGTTGACATTTGTTCCTGAGAAAAATGCTAAAATAGTCCCAGTGGAAGAAAATATTTTGAAGACAGCAAATGGAACTATCACAAACTAATATTTAAGTACCAGGAACCAAAGGTAGGGACTTAACATGGAGTGTCAAAATGTGAGGAATGTAAATACCAGGAATATATGAAATAGTTCACTAATTTATTCCATGTTTTAGATAATTTTTCATCTCAGATTTGGTTTTGAAGTTATACATTCTCACATTACGGTATTTTCATTTATATGTGTAGATCAAATACCCCTGTAAGAAAGCAGCACCAAACCCTACTTGCTTAAATTGTTCTGCCTTCATTTTGCACATATTTCATGTTGTACTTTTCCCTTGCTAAAAAAAGAAAACTGCTGAAATGGAAACTTATCTACTAAATCAACATCTTATAAGTTTTAGGTGGCAAAGTCTACAGATAGCAGACTAAAGCCAAGTCAACATTTTCTTACACTGCTTCAAAAATTTATATGCTTCCTTTTCTATCAGAGATCTCACAAGATTTCTGTATCTGCTTGTCAAACAGAAGCTGTGCAGCTGTATGTAAAATGATAATTGGAAAGATAATGTTAGTAGAATTCAGGCATCTCTCTCAAAGCAGCTCAGTTATATGCTGCATGGAATAAAACCAGGATTGGCTGAGTAAGGGAATTTACTGTTTCCCAAGGAAAGGAAATTGCCTGCACACATCTGGCAAAACGTTCTAAATGTTTAGTTTTGAGAAAATATACATTTCAGCTCTGCTTATAAGGTGAGTCTTGTAGAGTGGGTATCTTCTTTCTAAAAAGGGAAAGATCTAATTTGTACTTTAAATATGCCAAGCCACTATTTGCTATTTTATGGCAAATACTGTATACACTCAGCTCTAAAGCAAGCTGGAAATCACAGGCTAAACAGCTATATTTTAGTTTACAGAATAAAAGTATCATGAGTGTAAATATGACACTCCATAATGACAGTAGAAATTAAAGAGAACAACAACCACGAAAGAAACACCGAGAGGAAGCGACTAGTCTGAATTATAACTTTTTACTCAATTTCATACTGACATTTATAAGACTCCATGCCAAATTATTTAAATTCCTCCCTATTTCAACATGTCTAATAAAGAGACGGTCCTTCTCATAACTGACGGGGGACAGATCTTCTCCGTCATTCAGCTTTTTTGGAATAAGCCCTTCCCTTCAAGCAGACTTGTTATAATGCCTCTGCGGCTCAGTAAAAAGGCTTGCATTCAGGCATCTTCCTTCCTCTTCCTCAGATTTCAAGGACAAAAGTGTATTTAACTTGCCTTACTTTTCACACCAGTTTTCTAAATTTAGCTGTTACTACTTTCTTTGCCCCTGAACTCTGACTGGCTCTGACTCCCTGGGGAGGCAGAGAAGACCACTTCCTCCTCCACAGCTGGGAAAGCTGCTCCCAAAGGGATAGAATGGGTGAAGGATCACAATCAAATGCTCCAAAAGATGAACCAAATACGGCAGTATCCTGCAGTGAAGGGTTAAAGGGATGTGTATTTATTTCGTTGGCAAGGTGAATGCTCACTAACTTTCCTGGACAGCAGGACAGAGCACTTCATTAAAGCAATACGAGTCCATTGGACCCAGATGGGGAAACAGAAAACCCTCTCTCAGTTACGTGTGTTGGGGGTTGTATTCCAGTTATTGCCCCTACAGCCTGGGAGTATCAAGAAGTTGGGGAAAACATTACCATGGTGAACCTCAGGGTGTTACTCCATGAGCTAGATGAGAAGCACAGCAAGTAGTAACTAACTGGTGATGCCTGCTGTGCTGGTAAGAGTCTTCCACTAGTAGTCTGTTGTCAGTTCTCAGAATAATACCTGTGCTTTCTGTACCTTTTTGCCGAATTGCTGCCGTAGCAACTGGCCATTTACTCATTTATTCATTCATTGATTCAAAACAACAACAAACCCCCCCAAAAAACAAACCCATCCAAAAATGCAGCAAAAGGTGAACTTGTTTCTCTCTCCAGTATTCCTACAACCACAGTTCTCCCTAGTGGAGGCCCAGGATACAGCAAGCCTTCCTAGGCAGTCTCCAAGTTCAGTTTTGCTCCTGGCCCCGTTAGATCGCAAGGGCCTCCCGGGGGTCATGCTTTGGCCTTTCCTAAAGGAAAACAGACTCCAGTTCAAACTTTTAGAGACACTCCAGTCTCTCCTCAAAAACCCAGTAAAACTGAGCTGCCAGATTACGCTGGTGATCTGACTCACTAGAGTGGCACACAGATGGCATGTTTCATAGCCATTCAAAAACTACTGATTTAATCAAGCCTCTCATAGAGATCCTGTCTAATGAATTCTCAGCAGACTCTTCCTTAAGTCTTGTCTTTTATATATGTGTAGTCCATTGAGTAGAGGTCTAATAATTAAAAAGAAAACTTCTAAAAGACTACACTGCTCATTTTCATCTTTGGATATTTAATATCTAAATAAAGAACGAAAAAATCCATGAAAATATAGTAATAAAAATAAAGATTATCCTCCAGTTCTTCCTCATTAAGAGACAGATATTTTCAGGGGTGCAGCAATCTAATTTTCAGCACTACTCTATTGAGTATAAGCAAACGGTGGGGAAAGGGGGAATGACTAGTAAGATACGTATTTTTTGAGCTAGCTGTTCAAGGAAAAGAAAACACAGAACAGGCCAATTTAAGAGCAAGTAAAAGTCATAATAGGAAATTCTCATTTAATTTAACAAATTAATTAAAGTACTCAAATAGAAAATCCTGAATTTCAGTGTCTGGTTAGATACTTAGAAATGCTTCACACAGTCTAGTGCATTAATCTAATGCTACATTCTGTCTTCACTGGGTAATAGTAGGTTTCTCATGTACCTCACAAAATACTGTTATTCACATGGAATTAAACATCCTTTCAAAGACTTTAATACACTGAAAGTTAGACCAGTATACAAATGTTTGAAACTTTTGCTATCAATGCAGCTATCGCATTAATCTGCTTTATTATTGCAATACAAACCTGAAGGGATGGAGAATGCATAATTTATATACCAAACACTCCAAATATGTACATTTTGTAGAAAATAATCTAGACTGTTCCAAACATACTCCTCTGTTTCCTCTGGCTGGAAGGATGAACAATGGCAGACGAATACTCCATAGGAAAAAATCTGACAAATTGGTTCCACTTGTCATTAGAATCTTTCTGGAATTCTCCAGAATTGAAGTCTAGAGATTATCCTTTCCAGAGTAACTATGTAGTATGTAACGAGATCCCAGCAGCTTCCAACAATGTAAGACATGCATTTTAACTGCTACAACTATTTTTGACAATTCCTGGACACAATTTCCACGATTTAAAAAGTAAAAGCCACATTAATACACTATATGAGATGCAGCAAATTGTGTAAGACAGTCTGTCCTAAGAGATCCTGAGGCATGCTGGGATTTTCCTTGAATAAGAGGAACTTTGGTCAGTAATTCCTGTTAGTTTCATGAGCATGGCATTCCCTCTGTTTAATTAAAAAAAATCTATAGCTTCCAGATCCAGACCTAGCCAAAATCTCATCAGGCAGTTTGTCTTCAGGAGTCAGAATCCTATCATCTTGGTTTCAGGAAGTCATTTTCTTTCTACAGAGAAGTAAATTTTTCCAAACTTTCAGTGGAATGAACTCTTTCCCAGGGTCTGGTAGTTGGCTAGTAATTTTCCACTTTTTCAAGATGACTGATCACTGCAGAGAACACGGGAGTGGGAAGCAGGGGGAACCTCCTTTTTACTCTTACATATACATTTCAAAAACTTAATTTATTAGCGTTTCCCTCACCTTTTATGGGTATTTCCCACTTCTAAGGGCACAGAATTGGGCTAGGGAGAGCTGACAGGGTGACTGCTATTCAGCCATGCCACTTCCTGGGCCATGCCTTACTGCCACTGCCTCTGGATGGTTATTCCCTCTTCCAGTCCCAGCTGACTCGTGATTTCTAACTCTTATTAACATTAGTACTTCCAAAGTTAGCCATTTCATACAGACAAAAAAGGCTTTTAAAATAATAAATAAAAAGCTTGTAAATGCTTAACTCTTGAAAGATATGCTTAAAAATGAGTATTCATCTCAGAGATTCAGTAAAATACGAAGTCTGTGTTCAGCTGAAAACGGCCCCTTGTTCTCTTTGCAAGGAGATGCCCGTGCCTGCTTTTGTATGCTTGGGACAGTGTCTTTCTCTGTTATTACACAATGCATTAAACACCAACTAAATTACATCTTGGTTCAGCACATTTAAGAAATAACACGTTTTTAAGAACAAGCAAGCCCAGGAACTTTTTTTTTTGGTGGGGGGAGGGTGGAAGGAGGTGGAACAGTTTAAAAATTATTACCCCCTCAAATAATTTACAAGCATAGTTGGAGGCTATCGGAACTGATTGCTCTGTCTAGGAAACCCTTAATTAGAGCCGTGCCGCAGGAATTCGCAGGGGTCCTGCTCTGCCGGCTCCTCCCTGGGGTTTCCTCTCGCCGCCCCGCTCCCTCCAGCCGTCCCGCGGTGCCCCCCCGGCACCGGCGAGCGCGGGAGGGAGGAGCAGCTCCGCTCCCCGTGTCTGCCCGCTCTCTCAACTTATCATATAAGGGCCGGGAAGGGATTGATCAGGGTGCTAAGGCGGCAGGAGCTCGGAAGGGAAGGCAGCGGGCCGGTGGGCCAGGCGGGGCCGGCCCAGCTGCTTCCCTGACAGCTGCGGGCACGGCGGGAGCGGCCGCACCGCCCCGGGCGTCTGAGGGAGGGAGGGAGGGAGGGAAACTCAGTCCTGCCCTGCCCTGCCCTGCCCTGGCGGCACATGGCAGCAGAGCGCTCGGCTGCTCCGCAGGTTAACTAGGGCCGGGCTCCGGCCGGCGCACCCAGGCTCTCTCGGTCCGCCGGGTTGCCGCAGGGATTAAAATGCAGCTGGCTGCCTGCTTCTTTTTGGGCTGCGGTATCTTCCTAGCTTCAGGATACAACTCCTTCAGTAAGAGTATGGAGACGATAGGCAAGAAGCAGTACCAGGTTCAGCATGGGTCGTGCAGCTACACCTTCCTCCTGCCCGAGACGGACAATTGCCGGTCCTCCACTCCGTACGTGTCCAACGCGGTGCAGAGGGATGCGCCGCTGGACTATGATGATTCAGTTCAAAGACTGCAGCTACTTGAGAACATCATGGAAAACAACACTCAGTGGCTAATGAAGGTGGGGTAATATAATTTCTATCCTAAAAATCTTGTTTGCAACATCCTGTTATCTATTTAATTGTTTGTTTGTATGTTTGTTTTCTCTAACAGTTTCTAAATTCACAAAACGTATTGTCTAAGATAGATTTTTGAATTACCTTTCAGTCAAAAAGTTGTTTTGAAGTCTGGAACATTACTGACTAGGAAGGACCAGTGAACTGCAGAGTTCTGCAGAGATCATGCTTTAAAGTTTGTCATTATACTGGAGTTGCTTGGACAAATAGTAATTACATACAGAGACGGACCGTGGGCATATCTGAAATTTCAGACATAACCAGCTACTAATTTATAAATAACTAACAAGGGCTATTCTAGCCCTATTTAAAGAATATGGAATGTACCTTTATCCAAGGCATGTTTGATAAATGTTATCTGAAATGTGATTTCAAAACTTGGATGCAGAAATAAACCTATTAATCACCATTGATAAAGAACTAATTCTAAGCAAAGACTGCAAGTCAGACTTGCTGTGAAATTAGCCCTGTGAAGTGATAGAATTTCAAGAAAGTGCATTAGAGGATATTCTTTGCATCCTGTAACATTCCCACTCAAATGTACAACATTCAAGGGAAAATATTCTGGAAAAGGTGTTGAAGATGCCACAGAGCTTCCTTTAATGCAACTCCATTGGACCTAAGGGAAAATGACGTTTATTGCCAAAGTGGCAACATTTGTAACATCATACCTGAAAGTGACATTTCTAACATTATATCTGAAAGAGCAGAAAAAAATTTTGCAATATATATTCTTAATATTACTGGAGAATTAACCTTGATAACTATTTCACATTATTATAGAAAATAATTTGATTCAAAATGCTATGCAGTTCAAGAGATTTTGATTTAAAAAACCTTTATTTCACTAGTACCTGAAAAAGTGTGACAATATAGTTTAATTGCATAATAAATTTGTAAGCATTTATGTTCTGTACCAAGATGCCTATCTTCTCAGCAATAAATATTTTGAGGACTTGACATTGTATTTCCAAATAGGTGTTCCAGTGATGTCATATTTTTTTTTTTTTTAAATGTAAGAAATATGTGTTGGAAATGGAGAGAATTCAGTTTTCTACAATGAGTAGCCACTTCATACATAGCTATAAAATAACTTTGCATTAGGGTTCACTTCTCTCATCAGTTAAAAAGTTAGAGAACTAGTATGATATAACCAAAGAAACCTGCTGGCAAATTTGAGTGTAAGAAACAGAAGTCACACTCCAAAGTAGACAACACAGTGTTTTCATCAACCTGAAAATGAGCCTTGAAGCTTAAATCCAAAATGCATACACTTAAAGGCTCCAGTGTGGGACTCTAAATCTCTCTTTATGGGTTTAGGATGCTTAATTTAGACACCCAAATAATGTCAGTTAAGTAGCTCTTGTTTTTTTAATCTAAAAGGCAAACATACTTCTCTCCACATCCGTACTTACCATTCTACTTGTTAATTTGCAATGCTCACTATTGTAGTGTTAAGACCAACATTAACAGATGTGCAATGCAAGATGAAAAACACACAAAGTAAAACAGTCCAATCTACCCAGCTGCTAAGCAATTTCCTAACATAAAGAGTAAAATCACGCAAGACTCCAGTGCTAAATGCTACTTAAGCAGGCAAACACAGTATCATAAGTGGCATCAGGTAAACAAATTCCAGCATCCTTATTTAGTAAAAACTATGCTTTTTCCTGTTAGTCCCTGGGAAATCGGTTCTAAGCGGAATAGGATAAGTATCTCTAACCCGTTCTTTGGGGGATTGAAAGGCAGATTATGATTTACTAGACAGAGAAATGTTTCTTTTATTTGAGCAAAGACTTCCAAATAAGATGCTTTAGAATAGCCTGATTTTTTTTTTCTAGCTGTTCCACAGCTAAACATCCTGTAAAATAATTGCTGTTTGCTTTTTTCACTATTTTAACACCTGTTCTTAATGTCATCTGTTTTGTTCACAAAGAACCTCCAACAAAAAGTAGCTTTTCCTCAGATTTGCTTTGCTAGAGACACCTGGTCTGCAAGTGAAGATGAAAAGCAAACAATAACCTTTAAAGTTGTTTAGAGTTTACTTGCTGTTCTTTTTAAGGTCACTAACACACATTCCTAGGTTCATATTTCAACTTACCAAAATATAATGCAAGATCAGTCAAGGCAGGGCAAAAAAATTGTGTTCACTTAATTTTTTTAGTGAATTGAAAGTGTAATATGAGACTGGTTTTAAAAATAATCTGACATTAACTTGCACAAAAACCTGCATTAGGTCTTGCTCTTTAAAAGTTACTTCTGTTCATTTAAGAGGCAGCAACTGTGTTGTTTTGAAGTTGTGTAAAAAAATACAGTACAAACCACAAAAGTGTGAATTAACTTTAAACGTTGTTCCTGAAGTATCGCACATCCCTAAACATTTTTACACACCTCCCCCTCTCCTGCCTTTAATCCATCAACTAAAGGAAATGTTCTGTTTCTGAATGAACACTGGGTTGTATGAATGGAACACCATGGGAAGTGTGCACTTCATCTGCTTAATGGACAAACACAATGGGAAGAAAATGAGTTACATACATCCAGGTTCTTTTCTGATCTGCTTCTGTGTAGAGAGCAGAAGAATTTTTCCTACAGTTATTACAAATTGCTTCTTCATGAAAATACATTTTTTTTGGTCTGAACTTTAATGATGCATTATGCTACTACTGTACATGCCATACATAAAACTGGAGAATGTCTTTTGAAAAGTAGATTATGTTTAAGCATTCCGATGACATACTAGAATAAACCACTATTCCACCTAATCCAGTGTTTAGCAGTAAGCCAGTAAGTGATACTGTGAAGCGAAGGTCAAAACCCTAGATGAACCATGTAGCAATATACCTGAAATGAACTTTTCTCTTTGCCTTTCCCTACTTTAGGATCAATTTATACACTGAAGTGTAAGATTTTTTCTAATGTGCATGTCAGCAGGGAGAGTAAACCTCTCAATAATAAAATCTTCAATTAATTTGAGAGGATAGCAGACTGGTATACAGATGAGATACAAGACTGGAAATTTTAAATATAGATATGTATGTTGGCTATTATACTTTGGAGCATTTTGGTTTTCAGATATTCCTAAAAGACAGGCAATTCCTTTCAGTTCAACAATTAAACAAATTTCTTTCTGAATAAATGTCAGCTTTACCATTTGGATCATGGCATTGTACTCAATGAACTGCATTTTTTCAGGTATTAAGACATTGAAATAACTGAATGCTGACTTGAATTTGCTTCTTAGCACATTGACTAGACTATTACTCAGGACATATGACTGTCCAAAGCAATAGTGTAAAAGCAATAGGTAATTTTTTCTTAGTCTTTCCTGTTGCCAACAGCTGAAAACAATGTATGATCAAATTGCTTATAGCAAATGGAATATAGGTAATTTATTTGTAGTTTATCAGCAGATCAAAAGACTAGAAAATAAAAGTCTGTGTTGGGAATCAACACTTAAACCTAAGACTAGAACTTCATTCTGAACCATCCCAGCAGACTGGTGGATGCGTTGCTGTTAGAAATGCAGTATCTTCGTATACACTGAAATGAGATTTGTTTTCCCTTGTCGTGATATCCCGAAAGCCAAAAACCCTTTGTCACTTTGAAATATGTTTCTTCCTAAAGCACAACAAAATCAGATGTTTTAATATATACAAGAATGAATGCTTATAATTTTTTATAAGTAATTATCAATGAAAGGTTATAATTATTGTTGTACTGAAGTTCATTTCTCAAATACAAAAAGATATTCTGACACACTGTCATCCAAAGCCATCTGCACACAATGGATAAAGACAAATATATTGTACAGTGTTGGATTTTGAAGTACGTAAGAGATGATTCTGCCTCTGAATCCCACATTCCTTTCTTAAGTAATGCATCTGTTTTTACTTATTGTGAAAAGTGCTTGTTTCTGTCTGTCAGTGATGTATTTGCTAAGCAAAAGAGTACTGGCAGGACTCAAAAGAAAATATGTTTTTACTTTCAGATTAGTACATGTTACCAGATAAAGTTTCCACAGTATTCTGGATGATATAACTATGTAGTTTATTGTTGTATATCCTGTAGGTAAATTTCAGTGAAAGGATTTGAAATTACACTTTTGCATGTGTTTAAAAACTACATTGTAAAGACCATTTCTGCATCATTCCACAAATACCAAATTGGTGATACAGGTATGAAATTGTACAAAATCACCAAAGAAGATGAGATTTTTCTTGCACATATCCACAAGACAAAATTGAAGTTGACAGTTTGCCATCTCTGAGATGTTATCAGTAAAAAATGTGATAAACAGAGGCTTGTTTTACTGAACTAGTCACTTGCTAGCATTCAAGATATATTTGTTGTGCTTTGTGATTAACGTGATCATAAACTTCTCATCTTTGACTGGTCCAAACAGCAAATTGGGAGACTTTCTCCATCAATTATCAACATCAAGTGCTTAATTTCCCTTCTTTTTCTTTCTTCAAGTGTCCATATAGGAAATGAGCTTGGAGATGCCTGAACTGCCAGTTTTCAGTCCTTTTAGTTTGCATATAACTTAACATATAAAATTTAAGAGCATAACCTTTAGAATATCTTTGAAACTTTGGCAGATAGACTGAGGTTCAGACAATTATCTTGTTACTGCTCCTCTTTTCTTGTTCATTATGCATCTCCCCTTAATTTACCAAGAGAAACAATATAATTTGCTTTATCCCTAAACTATCACATATGTATTGCTTAGAATGGAATTTACCCTAGAAGACACAGATACCCATTTCCAACCTTCAAACTGCGACAACTAGTATCTTCAGTGACTGTACCTTTACATAGTAGAGTATTTGCTTTCGAAAATGCACCACATTATTTGATTTACAATACTAAGCAGCTTAGTTAACTATTTCTTTAATAACTTTTTACATGCTTTAATTCAAGAGCCTCTTGTTGCATCTGTTGT